CCCTCAGTCTGGCCCATCCTGTGTGAGGAAGGTCCAGGGTGCCTTTGGAACTTGTCACAGGCCTGTGAAGGGCCCACTGTCTTGTCACCCTTGATATTGCCTTTGTCTTCAGACATCTATTTAAGACCAGCTCAGCATTTACACATTAGGGAGTCCTGTGGAGCCCAAAGGAGCCCTTTGGGTGATTAGTGTACTTCCAGCTTCTAGGGTGCTCATCTCTGTCACTGTCTCAAAGGCAAGCCCAAAGGGCTCATGCCTTTGGTTCATAACAAGAATAATACCATTCTGACCTTTACAAGAAAAAAGCAAACTGCAGAATCTCCCTTTTTGGCATTTGTCTCAAGAGCAAAGTGATCCCTGACTGCAGCTGATACAGTGCCCCTCAGATAATTTATATCTCCTGAGTCCCTCTGCCCTGATGTACTTTGTCAGGCCTGTGATGTTGCAGAGGACCTAAGAAAAAAAGATGTGTTCAGTATCTTTGGACTATTTTAGAAAACAGATTCTTAGAACACATTGGGAAACTATATACTCTGTAGCATTTCCTACAAGTAAATATACTATTTTGTAAGTATAGTGAGGCTGAATTTTACCCTGAAAAGTGACACAAAAATACTGTAAACTTGAGACCTTGCAGAAGCCCATATCCCCACCCCAGTGTATAAAACTTAAACATTCTGGATAAAGAGCTTTTACAAAATATTTATTTTCTTTAAGTGCAGATAGTGGAGTGGGTAGGAACATGAACAAAGTTCTCAGAGGCAAAAAAGGAAGAAGAAGAAATAAAGGGAGGGAGGGGGAAGGGGCAGGGAGGGGAAAAGTATAGGAATGCAGACACTAGAGGTTGCCCAGCTGCTGAAGACGGTGGCTTCTCCGGAGCTTAGAGCTCTGGGTTTTGGGGGGACTGAGGACAAGTTTCTGAGGTCATAGAAAGTGCAAAGCTGAAAGCAGTCACCTACATAAAGCTGAAACTCTGAAAAAGTTCCATTTTTAGTGCAAAGGTATACTAGAAACAAAATAAAACCAACAAACAAAGAAATCCCGCGGAGGAATATGTACCTGTTTTAGCCTAGGTTCTGGGTGGAGGAGGGCCATGTGTGCTAGGAGCAAAACAGAACATTTTAAAACTGGTATGAATGTAAATACTGTATTTATAATAAATTGGCATGCAAGAAGTTATATTTGTATGAAGTGAAGCATTAAGTAGAGGGAAGGAACTGTAAAATATGGCAATGTGTATGTATGTATATAATATATTCGTTGGTATGTAAATATGACCATATATAAATGTGGTCTCTCTCACTTTCTTTGAAAATTAAGCCTCATTAAGGTAGAGTGGTTCTGCTGCTTTCAGCTCAAACATGGGCAGATGGCTTCTCCAGGTCTCTGTGGTATACTTTTCTGATTAGTGCCCTCAAAGACTTCTTTACTCTTGACGTCCAGCTTGACTCTTGCAGTCTTGCCAAGTTAACATTTATTACTCAGGATGTTTATTTTCTGAGAGACTCTGGGGAAAGAGCTAGGACCTATTTTTGCCCTGGAATCAAGTTGGTGAAGTGAAATATCGTGCAGTTGTGTGTGGTGTGGGGCGTAGCAGCAGCACAAGTAGCTGAAAGCTAGATTCCTTACCAGCAGATATACTGAGCTTTTGATGCCAGTGGGGAGAGTGTTAATAAATCAGCAACACAGTAGGTACCGCTCAAAATTTTCTTGCTGTGCTTCAAAGTGCCTGTGAATTGAGGTTCCCAAGCATGAGTCGTGTTTCCTTCCTCTCTCCATGAAAGTTGTTACCTTTAGATCTCTCCAGAAGACCAGACTGACCAGGCCTAAAGCAAATTTAGTCTGCCAATTAAGGCTCAAACATTACAGGCCAGGCAGGAGTCCTGCTTCTCCGTGGGAAATCTGGGTATGAGGCAGTAGAAGTGAATCTAGGTGAGGCGAAAGTTGAGTCAGGGTAGGAGGCAGAGCCTTGAGTAATGAGTTCCCTAAGAAAATGTAGCTTCATTGTTCATGCTACAGGCCACTAGATGCTCAAAAAGACCCCTTCACGTACAGGAAACTTTGTAATTTCAGAGTCTTCCACTCTCTGTGTTCACTTTCCTTGCCCCTGGTACCACTCAAGCCTCCTCCACACAGCTTTCTCCAGGCATGGTCCACGCCTGCTTGCAGATGAGCCCGCTCTGAGAGAGAGGGAGCAATTAAAGGCTCTGCTGCCTGAGAGAGCTCTCAGTGAAAGAGGGCTTTGTGAAGTGCTGCCTCAAGCATTTGTGGAAGGAAAACATAATTATTTGTATTTCTCAGGGATCTCTAGGACTAACAGGGATCTCAGCTCTGTTAGTGCATGGGGCATCCTGGACGGATATCCGCACTTCCTTAGCTTCAGGTCCAGGAAAGTCGATCCTGTGTCAGGACTGGAAATTGTCCTCACTTCAACTGCCCTTTTGGCTGGATTTCTCCCCTTAGAACAAATACTTCACAGTCTCAGTGTGGAGAATTCTCTAATTGAAACAAGTCACCTCATGGGGAAAAGTAGACAGTTTTTGCAGTTCTTATTATGATTCATAAATTGATTACAGTTCATCTTTTTCTTTTTTTAAAAGATTTTTTTAAAATGGATTTTTAGAGAGGAAGGGAGAGGGAGGGAGAGAGAGAGAGAAACATTGACATGAGAGCAAAACATCCATCAGCTCCTGCACTGGGGGGCTGGCCCAGCCTGTAGGGCTGAGTAAGAGGAGCAGGCCTGTTTACCATGGGCCTTGTGAGGGTACTCTCATGAAGAAGCTAATCTGCTGGTCACCCAAGTACATAAGCTCTGGAGAGCTGTGAGCATCCTTGAAATTTGGAGGAGATCCGCCTCCACAGGGCAAGGACAGAAGGGGATTGAGAGAAGACCATCATGCCTAACCCGAGTTGATAGGATTCCTGCACTTGGCCCAGTCTGCTAACAACCCCTCCAGAAACACAGGCCCCATGTGGGCTCAGGTGTGGCTTGCTCCCTGGCTTGCATGGAAAGATTTGGAAACGGATTGTTGTTTGAAAACGTTCCCATGATCTTCAAAGATGGATGAGAGGGTGAGAGACTGGGGGACACCTACGGGGTGCAGAATTAGAAACCATCAATAAAATTTCTGGACATTTCTTAGGGAAATCATACTCAGCCATGCAAGGTAAGTGAGAAGGAGAATAGAAAGCTGATCTTCCGCAGATGAAGGGTTAACCATCTCCCTATTTATAAGCCTTTGCAGAACTTTCCTCCAATGCTTACACAATCCTAGATTATTTTTCAAAAGTCTTCTATCAAAATATGGCTTTATTATTTTCAAGTAAAATTCACAATAATAGGATTTGAATTGACTTAGACCTATGATTATGTCTCATTTTTTTGTAACTTTTACTCAGTGTGTGCTATTTCACATGGACAGTGAAATTGAGGAACCAGGAATGGTTATGCAGTAAATTAGTGTAATTAACTCAACAACCCAAAGAGCGCTGTGGGAGAGGGCAGGACGTGGTTTCAGTCGTCTGCAGGAGGGGCCTGGATTTAGACAGCTTCAAAGAGCAGGAACAGACTAATGAGTGAAAATGACAGTGGAGGGGTTTCAGCCCAGTGCAGGAGGGAACTGCCAAATAGAACAAGATGCCCATGAGGTGGTGAGTGCCCCACCACAGGAAGTATTCAAGCTGAGGCTGGGTGGCCATCACTAGAGATTAGGAGGAGATGTGAGGTTTGCTACCCTGCTCCCAGGCTCTGCCCCTGCCAGGGGTCCAGGGTGCCTACGGGGGCGCGGAGGTGAGGCGTCTACAAGGTGTGTGGCTGATAGGAATCTCCAAGGACTGAGATTCTGCTTCCCCATCAGCCCAGGCTTCTTTCCTTATTTACTCTCCTGGTAAATTTCTCTTTCGTCAACTTCCTAAGCCAGCAATTTTCAACTTTTTTTCATCTCATGGCATACATAAACTAATTACTGGAATTCTGCGGCATGCCAAAAAATGTATTTTTTGCCGAGCTGACAAAAAACATAGGTATAATTTTGATTCATTTACACCGGATGGCTATTGTTGTGTAAAAAGCACTGTCCTAAGCCCTGCGAGCTCACTGAAACCTCCTAGACCTGACCACCACTTGAGCTAAGCTTCCTGACGGTTCAAGCAGCACTTCATTCCCTTTGGTGTTAAACAGACCTTTCAGCTTTCAAGGAGGCGCTGCCTGGTTATAGTATTCTGGGATTTTGAGAATGATTCATTTCCTTCATGATTCTATAGCTTCTCCTAGGTTTTGCCTTCTAAACGACGATCCTCATTTATTAAATCTTGTTCATACTAAAGCCTGTTAGCCACCCTGGAAATTTCCCTGACCTCCACTAGATCTTTTCCGGCTCTCTCTATGCCTTTTGAAGTAGGATGCCCTGAACCACATGCAGCTTTACCAGCTTACCTGTTCTCCAGCTTTATGCGAGTTTACTCCATGGGAGACAGTGTGGCGTATATGAAAATGCACGATTTTAAGGGCATAGAAAATCCTAGCTCTTACCCTGACTTTTTGTAACCAGCCACTTTGAACATCAGTTTCGCCATCTGTAAAATGGAGACAGCGATGTGTACCTCAGACATTCGTGAGGATATCAACTGGGCATTTTAAAGCCGAGTACACTGCCTTGCACACAGTAGGTACTGAATAATTTAGAGGAGGGAGAGAAAGACGAAGCTCCCAGTCTTGATGAGACTATCTTGTTAATAGTGAGGAAACCTTTTAATGAAACAGGTAATGGTTATTTCAAAGAAGCGCTTTTCAACCTCCCTGTAAGATTCAAATGTCGGCTATCTTGGCCATACTCACTTAAATTGGCCCCTTCCTCCATTTCAGTGATGTATACAAGGGCATTGCGGTCACACGTTATCAATCACAAATTCAATGCACGGCCTTGCATCTTTACTAACATAACTGATTCACACTTGAGAGAGATACGGAACGAACCGGCCGCCCTCTGTTTACTGCGCAGACGGCCCTGGCGCCTCCCAGAGGCTGGAGCTGCAGCGGGAGAAGTGGGAGCGGGGCGCCTGGCCCAGCAGGAGGCTGTCCCGGCGCTCCATCAGCAAGGAGAGGTGGGTGGAGACGCTGGTGGTGGCCGACACCAAGATGGTGCAGTATCATGGGAACGACAACGTGGAGTCCTATATCCTCACCATCATGAACATGGTAAGTCAGACTCCGGGGGGCACGGCCAGCTAGTGAACATGTCATCGGGAGCCTGTTCGCTGACCAGGTGACGGATGGAAATTCAGGACGTATCAGCCTTTCCCTTCAAAGTGCGTGTCCTGGGAAAATGTATAACTTATCAGTCACATTTTCTGCTAGATGTTTACCAAGCGACTCAGTCCTTTCCGTATGAAAGGATTTACATCAGTGCCCAAATGACTAAACGGAGGCACAAAGACTGGGACGTGATTCCCTCGAGGTGGGCAGAGCTAGAATCGGAGCAGAGTGAGTGATCCTGAACGTCAAGCTTCCCCCTCGTATTGTTGATGTTTTCCGCCTCCCCAGAGAGCGTAGTCCTGTGGAGATGGGAAAGATGTTTGCCTGGGTCACTGGTAATAAGAGAGGAAGACCCTGGGCCAGGGCCAGGGCCAAAGAGAAGAAAGGCGCCAACCCCCCGAGCGCACAGCCAGCTGATGGGTAACCTTGGAAAGGCCTTTAAGTATCAATGTGGGTTGGGCTGGGCGCCTCCCTCACCCTCCTTTGCATTCCAGCAAAACTTCTTGACCTAGGAGATTAGATTTGCGTTGAGTACACCCCAGTGCTGTTCCCCGCACCCTGGCATTTGTCTGTTGTCAACTCCTGTGGGCTGATGGTGTCCGCTTCTGACTCTAGGTCACTGGCCTGTTCCATAACCCGAGCATCGGCAACGCAATCCACATCGTCGTGGTTCGGCTCGTCCTGCTTGAAGAGGAAGAGGTGAGGGGCAGTTTCCCTCCACTCCTCTCACCTACACTTCCTACTCCCCGCCTCCTTTCTTCAGGAAAGTTCTTAATGGACAAGAAAGAGGGTACCAGAAAGGCCAGGTTTCTTAGCTTGTCCTGCAAAGGTTTCAGATCTTTCTGGCCCTTCCTTGGGTCGCCCTTCGCCTTGCTTCCCGCTCTCACTCACTGAACTTGGGACAGGTGGGTGCTGGACTCCTCTGTGCCCCCGTGTCTTCGCTTTATAGAATGGGGGTGATAACCCTACTTCCAGTCACTGCGGAGAGAATGAAACATGTTAATCCACGTCACAGCACGGTATCCGGCTTGCAGAAATCACTCGATAAATGGCACTTGTTAGTATCATTTTTATTATTCTTATCATCAGCATCCCCATCGTTTAGGTCCCCCAACAACCCTGTAAACTCGTTACTATTATTAGCTTAGTTCACAGATGGGGAAACTGTGCCAAGGGCGAAAGGGTAAGGTAGGGTCATAAGAGGCTGGAGGCTTCTTTTAAGAACAGTATAGAGACAGTACTGGGACGGGGGCGAGTGAACTGGGATCTAAAGCCAGGTGGGCCCCATGTCACTGTGCCATCCAGGGCTGCGACCCAAGGCTGTCAAGCTGGCTTGAAGGAGCAGCAGTAGGGCTGACAGGCAGGAAGGAAATGAATGTTATCATAGAGAATATCCCTCTTGTTCTCAAAGTGATTTAGTGTTGGGTCCACTTTTGTGAGTCTCTGGAGTTAAAAAGCCTGCAGACCTTAGTAATCCAGGCTATTTCCCCAGCCCCAGGGTAGTGTGTGGGTCTGTAATAGCCTGTATTTCAGGATAAATACCAACAATATTAGCAAAGAATTTGTAGACTCGTTATTTTTAAAAAATCAAGTATCTTTTCCTCTGATAGTCTAATGAGTTATTTCTTAAGCACATGGGAAGTTTTCAGATTAAACTTTTTACTGCTTTTCTTTTCTCTGCCCATTGTCTCTCTCCCAGGAACCTAATTCTGGCTAGGAGCATGTTCAGATTATGTACTGAATCAAAAGCTGCCATCAGGACTTCTCAAAGAAATAAATACAAGATTTTTTTCATTATAGAGAGAGCTTAAAAGGAACAGAACAATTTATAATAAAAGCCATATACTTGCAAAATCATTTTCTATCTCCCATTTTGGCCTGTTCCTGTGAGCTGTTGTTGATTTCCTCTGGGTCATCTCCTTGCCCTGTAAGGTCACCTACCCCAATGAATAGGAAAGGGAAGTGGGCAGTGAATTGGACTCACTTGAGAAAATGAGGTGAGAAAAACAATGATGCGAGAACAAAAAGGGAAATCTATTTTTGTTTAAAAGGAAATTGGGGGAAATTAGTGTGGATGGGGGTTTGTTTGGACAAGCTCAAATAATTATGAGGTTGCTTTATGGAAACTGTTTGTCGCAAGTCTCTGCATGTTCACTGAGAGCCAGCATAATCCTCTGACGTGTTTCTACATCTTGCACATGCTTAGGGCTGCACGGTAGTGAGGCACAGCTAATTACTCTTCCCAGGGCGCCTGCGACCAAGTGCATTCAAGAAACTAAATGAGTAAGTGTTCCTTGGACTTAACCTCTTAGGAGATTTAGAGATTTAGAGGCTGAGGAGATTGAAAAAAAAATGTGCACAATTAAAACCTCCTGGAAGGGTCATGACACTTAGTAGAAAAGCAGTAAGGCATCCTTGAGACCATGTCACTGAGCTTGCGTTGAATGCCCCATATTGTAGAGGAAAATTCTACACGGGCAGGTTACCCAGCTGCAAGTGATCAACTACCCAGCTATTTGTGCAGTTGCTTTGTTTGTAAGAGGAGCCAACAAAAGCAATAGGAGAAATCATGGATGCTGAATAGGTTAAAGGGGAGAAGAGAGAAGAGAAAGACATTCTAGGTGGAAGGAGCAGCTCAAGGAAAGCAAGGTAAAAACTAGCATGGTGAATGGGAATGTGGTGCTAGGGGCAATAATAATATAAGCAGTTTGAATGTTGCTAAAGTATAAACTGTGAGGTTACAAAAGAAGGGAGAGCTTCCTGGAGGCTAGACTTTGAAGGGTCTTGAACCCCGGGTCATGATATAGGTGGACTTTGGTTTTGACTACGTTGACCTGGCAACAGCAAGGGGGTTGGGATAAAAAAGAAAACAAAGAAGAAAGAAGGAGAACAGTTAAGAGATGCTGCAAGCGTAAATCCAAGCATAAAATGATGAGGGTTGAGCTAGGGCAGTGGGGAGTAAAGATGGAGAGGAGGTAAAATGAGCAGCCCGTGATGGATTGGGAGGCAGGATATGAGGGGAGAAGAGGCCAATAGGTGGACACTGGTGTTTTTAGACTGGGCAGTTGGGTTGATGGTGGTTCCTGTAACTAAGCCAGAGGATACAAGAAGAACAGGTTAACAATTGGGGGAAGATTTCAGGGATGCTGAGATGGGGCTACCTGGGGTGCCATCCAGAAGGAGGCGTCCATCAAGAGATTTGGATACAGGAATTTGAACTCTAGGGGAGATTTGGAGTGAGAGATGGATTTGAGAGTCAACAGCATATAGGTGATTTACTAAAATAGGACTGTGATTGAGAATGAACTAAGCAAGGAGCCAACAGAAGGGCAGAAGAGGGTCCTGAGAAGTAATCAGAGAGTAAGGAGGTTGGAGAGTTGGAGATCTCAGAAGTAGAGGGTCTCTGCCTGTGTTTGTCTCCTCGTTGGCAAATTGCTAAAGCTTTTCAGTTACTCAAAGCAAAAATAATTTAAAGAAGTCTTCAATAGTTTGGAAACCACTAGTCCTAGACTCGTAGCTGGAAACCTGGCCTCTAAGCCCTGCTCTGCCAAAACCTGCTGTGTGACTAGGTGAAGGTACTGCCCCTCTCTGGCCTGGATTTTCTCATCATTTAAATGACAGGATTGGAGGCATAGTTCCTAAGGTCCGTCAGGGAAATGGGTTCTTCCTAATGCTGGGAAAACTAGAAGCAGAGTTTATGCTGCAACATCTGGAAAATGATTGTTTTCTCATGATGATGATATGTCCTTGCTGACGCTGAATTTGGCTCAGGAACAAGGGGGAGTGGATGCTAGCATCTTATATCTCCCTTCTGCCTACCAACCTGACCCTGGGAAAGCACTAATCTCTTTTCCATCTCTGTAATTTTGTCATTTCAAGAATGTCATAAAATGGAACAGTATAGTATGCAACCTCTTGAGATTAAATTTTTTCATTCAGCATAACTCCCTTGAGATCCATCTAAATTATGTGTATCTAGTATATTAATATTCACTGTTCCTTAAACAGACACACATGGTTTGTATGTAGGGTCTTCCAAAATCATGAGTCCAGCCAACGTAGTGAGGCCGGCCGGTCACTCGTTAGAACCACAGCTTCGCCTAGGAGCCCCTGTATCTGACCTGAGTGACCTTCACTAGTTCTTTACTTCTCTGAGGTTTAATTCCCTCTTATTATATAATGAACCTAGCAATGCTTTCTTTCTTTACAAATGATGCTGAGAAGATGCAATTAAATGAGAAAATATAAGTGAAAATCGCTGGTGTACCTAGTAAATGATTAAGAAATGTTCCCTTCCTTCCTTTTCTCTTTTCCTCCCTCCCTCTAATTTCCTTGTCTTCTCTTTTCTTTTCTTTCTTTCCCTTCCTCTCTTTCCCCTTACATTCCTGCTGCATGCCACCTGGCCAGTGCTTTATGGTGGGTGTGGGTCATTCATCCCGGTAGGGTTGCTGTTCTAACTACAGCTTGACTACCTGTGCCCAGCCGGTTCCCCAGAACTCCTCCTCATTCTCCATGGTACATCATTTTGCTGGCTGGTGTCACGATGAGGATTTTTAAATAATAAAGTCTGTTTCTTCTATTTAAATTCATTATACTAATCAGTTTGGTGAGTTTTCATGAGTGACGAGCCATCTTTCTGTGTTTTCATGAAAGGAAGGCGGCCTGTGGTGCTTAATTAGCATGGGTGGCAGGACCTGGGAGTATATCTAACAGGCAACTGAAAGGAAGAAGCTTTTTGCTGCAAATCTATTCATTTTGCATTGGAAATAAGAATGCCTCTTAGGAATTGTATTGACTTCGGCAGAGAGTCACTGGAAATAGAACTTCAAACAACTGCTGGTCTTTGCTAATATAGTTTTGGTTACTTGTGCCAGTGATCATTCTGTCCTACAGTTCTCCCCTCCATGTTCTTTTAGTGGAAGTCATGAGAGTCATAGTGTTTAGAGTAGGGGGGTAGCCCAGAGAAGTCACTTGGCTTCTGCCAAATTCTGCCAGATCTCTGCGGCACCCACCTAGAGCTCATCTCACTTGGCTGCTTTTGGGGACTAACATGATGGGCCCCAACCACAGTGAACTCACCCATTCCAATCCGTTCCTCTTCTTTCTCCAGCAAGGATTGAAAATAGTTCACCATGCAGAGAAGACACTGTCCAGCTTCTGTAAGTGGCAGAAAAGCATCAATCCCAAGAGTGACCTCAACCCTGCCCATCATGACGTGGCCGTCCTTCTCACCAGGTACCCCAGAGACCACGGGGATCCAGGGGCTGCAAGGCAGGGAGGGCTGGCAGGTGGGAGGGGTGCCAGGTATTCAAACGCATGAAATTCTCCTACTCTTTGCTGCTCTTGGTCATTTTTAAAGGTAGCTTCTATGACCTTAAACAACTCCTGACTCCCATACCAGTGAGGGGGCAGTTAGCAAACTTGCTAAATGTGACAAAGTCTCTGTTAATAAACCGTGTCTGCTGGCGAAATGCTGGCCTCTTTCCTAGCCCAGTGATGATTTCCTCTTTAAAACTGGCTCCTCTCTGTGGCTTTGTAAATAATCAGGAAGCTTGTTTGCAGATCCTTAGTTGCATGTTCATCCCCTCTCATATGCAGTATTATTAAGGTAGCCGAGCTGGAGAGAAAATTGATTTGATCTCTGGATGGGTTTATCAGACCAATTGTCTTTTTCATGAGTGAGAAAAGGTTCTCATACGAGTTTTGAGCACAGACCTCAGAAAAAACAAAAAAATTATTTCACATTTGAAAAACCTCAGTGACTGCTTGTTGTCTCCCTTTCTGGTATAAAAGTTCAAATTAACCAATTTTCAACCAAATCCTTCTCTTTTTGAGCAAAAATATAATTTGTCTTCCTGAGATCAAGAGCAAAAGCAGCTAAAAATAAAACATCTACCATAATTCTCACATTCCTTAGATGTTAGTTAGATTCAGTTATCAAGGGGTGAAATCAGAATAATCTTAAGAAATTCAAAATTGCTCCCTGTATTCATATGGACATTTTAAAAAATTATTTTAAATTAATGATGCTTTACAGACCATATTGAATGTGAATTAATACCCAGCTTTTTCCAGGAGGGTTTTGTGGGTATTTCTTTGGCACTCTGCATGTTTCATGCATCTCTGTTCTCTGCTTTCAGAAAAGACATCTGTGCGGGTGTCAATCGCCCCTGTGAGACCCTGGGTCTGTCCCACCTGTCGGGAATGTGCCAGCCTCACCGGAGTTGTAACATCAATGAAGACTCGGGCCTCCCTTTGGCGTTTACCATTGCCCATGAGCTTGGACACAGGTAAAGGGCCGAAGAAACTGAGATCTCTTTGCCATGTTCGTGTGTCAGTATCGGATAATAGAAGGAACGGAAAGCGCCTCAAATGGGGCACAGGCAGCCGGGTTGCTCAGCCTCCTAAATCTCTGCTTTCTCACCTGTAATGTAGACATAATCACCTTTAAAGATCCCAGTGCCTCCTCTGTCCTGACCACTTGTACCACCTACGTCACAGAGTCAGAGGGGCCCCTGCAGTTATCTGAACTAGAAGGTGAGCAGCCCGGCCAGCGTCGCTCAGCGGTTGAGCATTGGCCTTTGATCCTGGAGATCTCGGTTCGATTCCTGGTGGGGACACGTGCCCAGGTTGCGGGCTCGATCCCCAGTAGGGGGCGTGCAGGAGGCAGCCTGTCAATGACTCTCATCATTGATGTTTCTATCTCTCTCTCCCTCTCCCTTCTTCTGTCTCTGAAATCAATAAAAAAAATTAAAATAAAATAAGATGAGCAGAAGCAAGGGAATAAGCTTTAACTCAGTTGATTAGTTCAGTAGTAACTTCTGTTTAGTTCTTGTGAAATAATAATTATATTAATATCATTAAAAAGTCACAAACTGTTAACATTCTGTGCTCTTCCATTATGCCCGCCACTTTGCATTGTGTCACCGAATCATCTCAGTGGCTTTATGAAGTAGATACTAGTGTTAGTCTCATTTAGCTTCTATGTGTAAAGGAGAATATTGAATAAATAAGAAATTGAAAACTGCTATAAACTTGGAAAGACCATCAAACAAACACCAGTTAATAGGAGGTCCAAGTTGTCACAAAAATGTGTAACTTTGATTAGATGAATTCATTCAAAGCAGGTTCCAGAATGTTTGCGTGAAGGAATAAAGAGAATTCTGGATTCTCCAGGTATCAGAGGTCCCCGTGGAGGGAAGGTCTTAGCTTAGCTTTGCCCCCAGGAAGCTCTGTGACTTTTGACAGATCTCAGACACTAAGCTTCCTCATCTAGAGAAGGAAAATAAGCTAGACAATGATAAAACAGCAATGAAATTTTCTTTCATTTACGGAGCCCTTATATGTCAGGCACCTGGCTAAGTGGTTTTCAGTCTATTCCATTCAAATCTCATCCACGTGATGTCTACTCCACTTTCCAGGAGAGGCAAGTGAAGCTGAGCAACTTTCAGTAGCACGGATCATGAAGTGGCAGGGGCAGGGTTCCAATCCAGACACTGTCTTCAGAAAGCCTGCTCCTAACCCTGAACCGAGGCCTCCCCGACCCGACGTGTGTGATGCTGAGGACCCTTGTGCAGTAGAGAAAGAAACCCATCCCCTCAAAGCTCTGGCCTTGGATGAGGCCTCCCTCAGGCTTCTCCTTTCATACTGTCCCTTCAGTTATGATGAAAAGGGAGGAGGAAGGTTTTGTTCTTTTGTGCTGTGGTTACTGCAGCAGGAGAAAGAACACAGCTTGAGGCAGCAGTTGCCCTCCTGACTCTAGACTCATAGAAAGCCACTGGCAGCTCTACACTTTCTACCAAACAGAAGTTTTTGAATTAGCCACGTGGCTCTCACGGGTGCATATTTGAGGCAAAGCTTGCCTAAAATGCTCCCTGTGCTTTTTAGTTGAAAATTAGCTATCCCCCTCCAACTTCCAAGTCCCACTCAAGTAAGCAGAAGCCTTCTGTACAAAAGTAGCCCTCCGTGGGTATTTGCACCATGGAGAAACCCTGGCTTTGCCCTGTTTCATGCCTGTGTCCTTGATGGCCTTGGACCTTGTGCCTCCCTGCAGCTTCGGTATCCAGCACGACGGGAAAGAAAATGACTGTGAGCCCGTGGGCAGGGACCCCTACATCATGTCACGCCAGCTCCAGTACAATCCCACCCCACTGACGTGGTCCAAGTGCAGCAAGGAGTATATTACCCGCTTCCTGGAGTAAGTGACAGTGTGTCTCAGAACAGCCCCACTTGGGTCTCAATTCCTCTGACAGGTCATTGTATCAAGGTGACATATGAAGGTGTGGATTTCACTTCCACGTTGGGTTCTGCTCTCCAGCCACAGCCAGGTGAATACCGTGTCCCCTGCTGGCTTCTGTCCAAGGTGGCTCTTTATGAGCTGAGTGTGCCTTAAGTCCTTGGGGACTGGCAGGAACAACCAGGATATGTCAGAAGTGGTCACCCAAACCCCACTGGGGATAAGATGATGATCCTCTAATTTTACCACTACTTGTATTTCCTAAATCACATCTGAACGAATGGAACGGGGTGTGGTTTTTGGTTTCCTTTTAATGTCTCCTACCATGGGCCCGGAGGGTTCTCTGCCTTGTAGAGAGAAAGTTGTCTTGGAGACAAAGACTAAACTAGCGGGGCTGGAGCTTCTGCCAAATGAAAGACTGAAAATGAAGGAAGTCATAAGCATCTGCTCTCATTTCTATTAACTTCTTTTCAGCCGAGGCTGGGGGTTCTGTCTTGATGACATGCCCCAAAAGAAAGGCTTGAAGTCCAAAGTCATTGCCCCTGGAGTGATCTATGACGTTCACCACCAATGCCAGCTGCAATATGGCCCCAATGCTACCTTCTGCCAGGAAGTGGAAGTAAGTGTTGGGTGGGCAGGTACAGGGCCCAAGATCTCCAGCACGCTGAAAGAAGGGCCAGGGAAATATTCGGAAATCCCAAGATCCGGACACAGGAATGGAAACTCTCTCTTTATGGCCAGGCGTCTGTAAGGCAGAAGGGCTGGTGTTGGGGTTTGCTTATACTCCTTGACTCTACCTCCTTGGTGTTCTATGGAGCCAGCAATGCTTTGCACCTGGGTGGTGCCGAAGAAAATTCTACAGCAATTTTTCAAGAATCACAGTTATTCACACCTACAGACTCCATAGCAAACAACTTAATCCCTAACATTGCTCTCTCTCCTGAATTTCCCACCAGATCCCAAGGTAGGAATAGGATTCATCCCTAGTTTATTCTTCTTTATGTTCAACATCCAAATGGTAGCTCCTAAAGGGTCTGTAGCTCAGTCCTGTCTTTCTCATTCCCGCTGCCACTGGCTTGATCCAGTCTCTCATTTTCTTTCCCTGCTACTGTAATTACCTCCTACCCATTCCCTGCCCCCCATTTCTCAGGCTATGTCAAAAACACACAAATCTAACCATGGCTCTTCTCAGATCTTAAGGTCCTCACTGACCACAGGATAAAGTCTGAAGTCCTTACACTTCTTTGTGAGCCAGATCTTGACTGTCCTCTGAGCTGATGCCCTTTAGTGCAGAAGTATTATTGTCAACACGTAGACAAGGAGAAGCAACTCTCATTGAACCCACTGCAGATTCTGTGCCGTGTACTGAGTGAGAGGGAAAAGACGAGTGCTCTAAAATTAATATGACAGAGCCTCTGCCCTTGTGGGACCCCAGTAGAGGAGGCAGGTGGAAAAATTTCAATACAGTGAGATAAAGACCAAAGGAGACAAAGAGAAGAGTTTGAGGAGGAAGTAAATAAATGCTTAGACAGAACAAGCAAAACAACAGAAATGATAATGTTGGTGCAAAAATCCCTCACCCCTCACTTCTAACTGGTTACACATTGCACCAATTCTGCCTCCTAAATATCTCTAAACTCTACCTGTTCCTAGAAGACTGCAGTGGCCCCCTGATTGGTCTCCTTTCCTAGAGGCCACCAGATAAAACAAGCTGGATACTTTCAGTAATAAGTAAGTAAGCTGAGGCTTTCTGGGTGGAATAGTTTCCATTTCCTTCAGTGAGCAGGCTCAGCTTCCAACCACCCCAGCTCTCTGTAAACTTCTGTCCACAGTTTTTGGATTGGCCCTTGATGGCTACTATCACCAGTTACCCTGCCTAAGGGCAATGATATTGTGCCACACACATCTAGAGATTAAAGTTTCAACTTTCAGGAAATGTGTTTTATCTCCCACTTTCTTATTGCCCAGAATGGTCTCCACACCACTGTTTATGAATCACGACAAAGTCCAGATTAAGTCTGAGCTGAGAGTGCTCGAATGACCAGTTTCCATGACTCTTGTTCACTAAGAACAGCAGCACTTTTTGTGGGTATGTGGGTCAGTGTGTGTATTTTACCATCACCATAGAGATGCTTTTGTGCAGGTTTTGAAAATATAAAAGGTTGTGATCTCACATTTGCTTTCCAGAATGTTTGCCAGACACTGTGGTGCTTGGTGAAAGGCTTTTGTCGCTCTAAGCTGGATGCTGCTGCGGATGGGACACGATGTGGCGAGAAGAAGGTGATGTGTCCGGCTGAGGCAGGAAGGTGGGAGGGAGGTGGACACTGAGTCCTTGGGGAGAGCTGGGGAGAAGGTCCTGGAGAGCAGCTGTCTCTGGGTGAATGGAGATCCTAGAGCCGGACTAGCCAGAGGAAAGGATTCACTGCCACTACACCTTTGAGCCTTCCTGGGAGCAAGGAGAGAGGGTTGAGGCCCAACTCCACACCTCACTTGCAAAACACCTGTTCCATCTTTTCCTGATGAACTTCCATGGAGTTTGTGGTTAGTAAACATCTGCTGAGCTTATTTTGAGTTTATTTTCCCTTCATGTTGAGGATTGGGAAGGACAAGCCAATGGTGCTTCTTTCCAAAGATGATGGATTTGGGCCACTTATGATCTTCTTTCTCATCCTCTGACTTAACTGCATTTCTTGAAGATCTGTCCACTCTATAAAGCAGGAAAGCCAGACACCCAAGAACGCAGAGATGTTAGATATGCTCTAGTCTTCCCGAGAACCGGGTACTACTTGTTGCTCCACAAAGCCAATCGGGTTTGATGTGGGCCTAGAATTTAGGCGTTTAGTGGGAATTTTTATGCAGCTTGAGGATGGCCGGACCCATCACTGACATTTTAGAACCTGGGCAAAATACACAGTGATCAGAAATCATGACGACAAGGTGGGCAACAGGTAAGACATGCCCAAATTGTCCAGGTAATGTGGCCGTTTCTAACAACCACGCTGTATTTTCTTTTGTTTTCCTTTTCCTGTGTTCTCCCTGCTAAACTGATAGTTGTTGAAGTATTTCCCTGAAGAGGGAGAGAGAGGATTTTTTTCAGAATCACTTGGAAGGCCAGAACTAAAAACATTGGGTAGAGTTGCAAAAAAGGAGAATTTTTTTCTTGGTACTAAAAAGAACTTCAAATTCTTAACATGTAGTGTTTTTTTGGCAATGAATGGACTTTTTCTAGGAGGTTTAAGTTATCTGTTGCTGACATTAATTACCCATAGAGGCTTTGAAGGAGTGTTGTCACAGTACCAGTCTGGAAAATGTTTGTTACTGTCTACAGGAAGATAAGGAGCTTGCACCAAAAAGTAAATCAATGGTGTCACTAAACAACTATGTCACCGAGCATACTGAGCTGACATGCTCTTCAGAGCGAAACGTTCTCCATGTAGGAAGAGATGTGTTGCTGTACGTTCTGGCATGCAGTCTGCCAACCACACTTTGAGTAACACTCCTGCTTTGGCTGCAACTAGGCACCATAAAGTTCCCTAAATTCCTGAAATTCTCTGATTCTAAGATCCAAGACTCTTGGAGGAAATTCCTTAATGAGCTCTTCTTGGTTGCCCATGTGATGTGTGACTGCAGGAAGCCTACTAGGAGAGTTGGGGTTAGACTTCTAGTGTTCTCGGCCCAGCCTGCCATGGGAACCTTCCTGACATATGCGTCTCCCGCTCTTCTCTTTCCAGTGGTGTATGGCTGGCAAGTGTATCACGGTGGGGAAGAAGCCAGAGAGCATCCCCGGAGGCTGGGGCCGCTGGTCGCCCTGGTCCCACTGCTCCAGGACCTGTGGGGCCGGAGCCCAGAGTGCCGAGAGGCTCTGCAACAACCCCGAGTGAGTGCGGCCAGATATACTTCCCTCCTTCCAGGAGCTCTGGGAGACCTGTCTTCACCAGTGTGACGTCAGTGACCCCAGGCCTCATGAGGGACACTAAGTGGGGACCCTGAAGATTCATAGAGGGTGAAAAAACAAAGTGGTCCTGCCGTGTTTCATTTTGGCTTGGCGCTGGATTCTTGTTAGAACTTGGATAAATAAGCTGATTGCATCACTTGAAAAGATAAGCTAAGTTCTTTTAAAAGAGCATCTGTGTAAAAGCCTCTAGATACGGTTAAATCTTCCCAGATAAACCACACTATCAGTGAGAGATTAGTCAAACCCAATTTTGCTGATAAGATTGTAGCTGTCTTTCAATCATAATGAATGTACAATTTTAAAAACATGTTTTCCTTCCCTTAGGTAACTAAGAAAATAGCTAGGCACATTTTTGAGGATTATTATTTTTAACATTTTAGATAAGGATTTTGTAAACCTTAGAGATCCATATTAGCCTGTTAAGGATTCCAAAGAAGTTATTTCACAAGTGGCTTTCGATATTTTAATCCAATCGTGTAATTTTTTCATGTTTTAAATTTGTATAATAATATTATATATAAATTAAATTTAAATTTCCTTGTTTTTCAAATATCTATTACATTCTCAATTTCATTATTTCCTGGTACACCAGTTCCAAAGTATAATTTTTTAAAAGTATATATATGATGCCTTCTGTAAGTGGAAAACTTATTAAGCTTCTTTTACCTATTTTTATACATTAGTCAGCATCGAAGAGAAAGAGTCACAGTTTTTAAAAGGCAAATGATAATGTTATTACAGTCCCCTCAATATCTCAATTCCAAACCTTACATCTCCTTTTTTTTATTTGTTTATTCTTGACAGTATTACATATGTCCCCCATTTTTCCCCCTTGTCCACCCTCCACCCAGCCCCTGCCACACCCCAGGCCTTCCCCACACTATTGTCTGTGACTATGGCCTATATATATATGCATATATATATTCTTTGATTAATCTCTCCCTGTCCCTCCACCCCCCACCCTCTGAGGTCTGTCAGTCTGTTCTATGCATTTATGCCTCTGGACCTATTTTCTTTGTCAGTTTATTTTGTTCCTTAGATTCTACATATAAGTGAGATTATGTGATATTTGTCTTTCTCTGACTGGCTTATTTTACTTAGCATGATAATCTCCAGGTCCATCCATGCTGTTGCAAAGGATTAAAAAAAAGAGATCCTTCTGTTTTACAGCCGCATAGTATTCTATTATGTAATGTACCACAGCCTTTTTATCTACTCACTCACCTACTGATGGGCTACATCGCCTATTGATAAATATTATATGTATATATGTGTGTATATATATATATATATATATATATATATATATATGTACACACACACACATCACATATATAATAAATTTCTAAGGGTTAATAAGTTACTATCTATAAAGAGTTTAATACAATACCTACTACAAAAATTGTTAGTAAATGGTAGTTATTATAGTAATTATTATGATATTTTATCATTTATCACACATGTAAGTGTACATTTGAGGAATTTTGACAAAATTGCTTTAAAAACTTACCCTTTGATCAAAGTTGCTTTTGTTTAAATATAAGGTTTCTGTGAATTCATAAGTGTAAAACAAGGAATTTCTTATACTTCATTTTTACAGAAAATCTTTATTTTATAGTTTATTTCAGTGTGATCAGAAAAGTGATTTTTATTTTGGTGATCAGGAAATATAGGTGGTTAGCTCTGGGACCCATTGTCAATGCTGTATGTCAGCTACCACCAATCTGTAGCCTTTTGGGGATAATGGTAGTGACCTGTGGTTATCAAAAAAGGGATATCTTTGTCAAGGAACTAAAGGGAGATTCTCTAATGGACCTTTGGGGGAAAGTGATCCTAACTCCCACCCCAGAGGCCACATTTTATCATAGAGTCTCCTCAAATGAATGACCATGTGTGATCTCAGTGGCTGGTTTGCTTAAGTTCTCTGAGAACAATGCCAGTGGACAGAGTCACAGATTCAGATCTGTGATTCAGATCACAGATTCGTGTCAGTGAGTAACCAAGTGACCTTGAGACTGTATCCTTGATATTGGTCAGCTGTCTAGTGAGAACCCAGTGGGGCTTGGCTCATAAAATGCCCCCAGTGATGTTTGTTGGATGGAGATGAATTAGAGAGATTCCAAGTCATAGAGTGCCACTCTATCATAACGAGTAGAAAACCAGCCTAACCTCAAATATCAAGGGGAATTCTTCATACTGCCTACAAGGAGTCAGTGACTATAAACTCCTTTTGTCAGAGAATTATCTTCAGGAGTGCTAAGTGCAGGAAGCACATAGAGTAGAAAACGAAGTGTCATTTAAGTGGAGAAAGAGATTACTTCTGGCAGGATTCCAGAAAGAATTCATGATTGAGATGACATTTATTTGGTCCTTAGAGTATGGGCCATATGTAGACTTTTAGAGGCTTAAGAGAAGGAAAAATCTATCTAGAAGCACAAAAGAGAAATATTAAATATGTCAGCTTATATTACTGGAGCAGTGTACAGATGAAGGGGAGTGCAGGAAGTAAAGTTGTAAAAGTAAATTATGTCAGGATTGTGAGGGCCTTGAAGGCCAAGGTCAAGAGGCTGGACTTGATTCTGTGGCCACAGGGTGCCATTAAATGTTTTTAAACAAGAAACTAAAATAATTCAGGTAATTATAAAAATTACCCAGATAATAGTGTGTACAATAGGTTGAATTAGGAAAAAAAGATGGACGGGGGCAGATAGGAATGGAGATAAGGGTTGAATAAGTTTGGTGATTATGAAAATAAAGCAGAGGAAACCAGTATAAAAACACAGCTGATGACCAGGCAACTGACTGACTGTGGGGAGGGGTCAGGCTTTTCGGAACAGTACCTGTACACATGGGACTGAATGTTCACGGACAACAACACAAACGAAAATGTATGGACTTGGAAGAATTTATCTGAAAGCTGAGTTTTGAGGGTAGAGAGGGATGTGGTTTGGGAAGGAGTGAGCATGGCTACGTGCCAGGGGAGCTTTAAAAGAAGACGCTGGCCTTTAAGGAGACTAACAGGACAGCGTATGTGTTTGTCTGCAGACCAAAGTTTGGGGGGAAGTACTGCACTGGAGAAAGGAAACGCTATCGCCTGTGCAACGTCCACCCCTGTCGCCCAGACGCCCCGACGTTTCGGCAGATGCAGTGCAGCGAGTTTGACACAGTGCCCTACAAGAACGCCTTCTACAACTGGTTCCCAGTGTTTAATCCAGGTAAGGGGCTGTGACAGAATATTCCAGAACTAGGTCCACAGCCATCATCAGAAAGCCTATGTCAGGGGTCTGTGCTGCCCCACAAAGCTCAACAAAAAGACAAATGTACCAGTAGGTGTTTTGTATTTTAGAAGGTAAAACCACTGGTCAGTAAAGTTGATAAGGAAATGCTGAAAGCTGAATATGTCCAAGTTCTGTGCTGAGCTCTGTGGAGGTGAGAGAGAAGTTTATCCAACTCGGTGTCTCTAAGTGATAAGTGGGGCCCATAGGAACTCCGTCACTGATCACTGATGAAAGTGCTTGTTGATGAGCAAACAAAACTGACTGTAATTTTGGGCAGAAATTCAGAAAAGAAGGTCATTGTGGGTTTGGAGTAATTTCAAAAAAGGCTTCCAAGGAAGTACGTGATGATCCTTAAGTCTGAGTGGTCTTGCTACTGGAAGAAGGCATGAAAATAGAGTCGGTCATTCCAGGTGGGCAGAGAACAGGACAAGGAAAGATGACAGGAATGACTTCATCAGAAAGGAATGAGAACCAGTTCTGGGCCAGAAATGAACATTTTATGTGTACAAGGCAGTCTAAGAGGGGTAGAAAGTAAAAGCAAACATCTAAAGAATGCACGTTAGAGGGGAATAACTGAGCTGAGGAATGGAACAGCAGCCTTGGCAGTGCTGACCCTGAATCAGGACCAGTGACACATTGTCTTCTGAAAATGAAGACTATCATTAACTCTTAGCTACAGATTAACATCAGAAAATATCTGTGTTATTCGTTGTTGTTCCAGTGAGGAATGAAACATAAAAGATTTTCCTGAGCGAGAGAGATTTGAGACAGGAAGTAAAAAAATAACCAGATTTTTCATGAATTTAAGTTTCTGAAATTCCAGTGTAAGAGCACACAGGAGGCCTCAGAGATGTTGGGCAATGAATGAAAATTACATATTTGAACTATTATAAAAATGCTACAATTTCTTTTGAAAGAAAGACCCTATAGTGCTATGTCTACTTTGGGTCTCCAAAATACCCTGATAGCTATTGGTTGTCATGGGTGACATCTGCTCCTTGCCCCCCATTGTTTAGCATCATTCATGCTCTAAAGGAGCGAGTCATTTGGTTATTGGTACAATTTAGCTTACTGAGCCGGGCATTTGAATATAGTAAAACTCATGTATATACTCATGTGACTCCCCACCCCTCAAAAAAACTAATGATGAAAATTACTTACTACCTTTCCTATATTCTGGACATTCTCTATTTTGTTGAAACTATTTGAGTCCTATATAATCCTATGGCCCTAAGTGAGCAGCCTTCCAGAACTAAAGTAGCACAGCTGCCTCAGGAGTGTGACAGGTGCTTAGTTTGGAGATTCTCACACACACACACACACACACACCCCGCCCAGTGCAGATGCAGGTGCAGGGTTGGGCTTGTGTGTTCCAANCACACACACACACACACACACACACACACACACACACACACACACACACACACCCCGCCCAGTGCAGATGCAGGTGCAGAGTTGGGCTTGTGTGTTCCAAACTTGGATGACTTGAGTAGTTGGACTTGGAATAAAAAGATTTGGTTCATCTTGGTTTTTCATTTTTTTACAAGCATTTAGCACATGCATACTTTTTTTCTAGTATAGAATAGGTACTAAAGAAATGAGAGTCATAAAAGTAATAAGTTTCACTCGCTTTGGAGTGATTGGTTTGTACCTGAAACTAGTCTGAGGCTGAATAAACCACAGAGTGGGGCCAAGCTAGGCTCGCTGCCCACCTGGGCTCTGAGCCTCCGCCCTCCCTCCTGCCGGTGTTCCTATAGGCCTCTGCTCTATTAGTTGAGCATGTGGCTTACCTGCTAATACGAGTAACTCCTACCTTGACCAGCACGCTGCTTTCTTTCCCCNCCTATAGGCCTCTGCTCTATTAGTTGAGCATGTGGCTTACCTGCTAATACAAGTAACTCCTACCTTGACCAGCACACTGCTTTCTTTTCCCTCATCAAACTCTGTCTTACAGAGCTGCCATTTGCTTAGTTGGTAAGCATCCCTGACTGGAGGTAATTCATATCAACACCTATGCATGGAGCACTTACTCTGTGCCGGGCAGCGAGTACTTTACACCGCCCCCCAGCCTTCCCTTAAAAGTCACCAGAGAATAAAATAATATACAGCAGAATTTTCTACCCACTCAGTGGAGAGAATTAAATGTCTTGGTATGTGATCTTTGGTAGATTTGCTAAGCTGCCAACAACTGAAGAAGAATCATAGATTTAAACATTTGGAATAAACGTAGAAACTCTGTCAAACCTTATAGTTTGCAAACTCAGTTTCATGGAATCCCAGGGCTCCCAAAATTGCTTGATTCTCATTTCATTTTGCAAAAAAATTTTTTAACTATTTTAAAAAGTGCAATAAAGAACAATGCTTACACTAAAAAATATTAGGCCAGGTTTTAACGTATCAGAAACCACCAATGCATTAACTTACACAGTCAAATTAATTTGGTTTTCTGCAGATCTTAGAAAGAAAGTCTCCTATCAACACAATTTCACTGAGAAATATCCTGAGATTGCCAGATGAGTTGTTCTAAACTGTAGCCATTTACAACTATTTGTCTGTATAAGTGAAGATTTTTCAATAGTGCGGAACCAAAAACCACAGAAAAAAATTAGATGCTGCAGCCCACATAAGTCTGTAACGCCATCCATAGCTCAGTGTCAAATTTTTTTGTTCATCTTAATAGTCTCTATAAATCCCACTAATTTGTTTTTAGCCATTGTATACCTGAACTTATAAAACCTATGCTTAATAAAATCCTGATTTCATCTGCCTTATTGGCAAGGTCTTGTTTGAAAAAAAAGAATAATTCTGCTTTAAAGTTTTGAAAACTACTAATCTAGGTCAGCCTGCTTTCCAATACAGGCATTTTCCTTCCAGCGTTCCTGACAAAAAAATTATGCCAACTCCACCTGATCACAGCCGTGCAGGCACCAATGAGAAGAGCCGCCATGTATCGGCTCCATTGTCCGAGGACGCGCTTATATCAGCACGTGGATGCGCAGGATCTCACTTCCCCACCTCCCCATCTTTTAGCGATAAAGAAGCTTAGTCTAGGGAGGGCAGTAACTTGCTCAAGGTTACAGGATTTTGTATAGTGGAGCTGGGATGGCAGCATGGGTCTGTCTGACTCAGAAGCTCACACACACACACACACACACACACACACACGTAGATTCCCAGGGACTTCATTAGCTATGTTAACAGAATGTGTTTATATCCTGCATCTTCTATTAGGAAATGACCAGTGTCTGATCTTGATGTCATCTTTCTTGGACTCTTTCTTTTTAGATCTTTTTAAATTTCTCAGAACACCCAATAACTCTTCATTGATGTTCATTTTTTTATTTTTGCTTCTAAATATTTAAGCCAAATTAATGCTTAATGCCAGTGAGGTTTCCAGCAAATGTGGAGGGTCTGACGTGAGGTCGGACCACAGCCTGCTCCTCGTGGAGCAGGGTCCTTCGGGAACCTCTCTGAGGAGTTGTTGCTGGTGGGTCCCTAGGAAACAGACTCCGAGACAGAGGCCAGCAGGCAGGAGGTTCAGCAGCTGTGAGGGGGACGGACCATCACAATAAGCAGGTTGGCTTCAGCTTCGGCTGCAGCAAGAAAAGCACATCCCTGTCTCTGTGTGATTGTAAATCTGCCCAAGGACGCCCTTGGCTTAGGAATAAGGGAGGATTTCATGGGGATGGGGTTATGATAGGAGTTTGGGTGTTAGTGGTGAGCTGGTCTCATGGGAGGGAACCAGCTCTACCCTGGAGGTCTATTTACTTTGCTGCAAACAGCAGGCAGGTGTCATGCTTGCCTAAAACCCTGCATCAGTGGTTGATCTCTAGGTTAACCTAGGGATAACCTTAACCTCCAGGTTAACCCCACATGTACAGTGCCTTATTTTTACAAGCACAGTTCAATGCTGGATTGAAAGGTCTCATCGTTTGTAACAGCCTTTTAAAGCAGTCTTCCCAATTTGCTGTAAAACTCTTTAACCAAAATAAGAAAAGAAAAAAAGCTACTCTTCAGCATGTGTCATAGGAAGGTGGAAGATGGGAATCTCCGGATTAATGGCACTGGGTTCACATTCATACGTACAGAAGAATCCCGGGGGAGGGGAGCTGAGCCAGAAAGCTGACGTGCGAGGATTTGTCTCCTTTTCACTTCAGCACGTCCCTGTGAGCTCTTCTGCCGACCCATCGACGGCCAGTTTTCCGAGAAAATGCTGGATGCTGTCATTGACGGTACCCCCTGCTTTGAAGGCGGCAACAGCAGAAATGTCTGTATTAATGGCATATGTAAGGTATTGGGTATGTTTCCTTAATCTATAACTCTACAAAATCATGCTTTTATTAATTCAGTAGGTGAGGCGTTCGAACCCTTGGCTTTTGTGGCATTTGCATGTGGCCCGGGTTTTATTTTTGGTCTGCGAGGCAGGACTTCTCAGTGTATATCAGAGGCACTGTTTGGAACTGAATAGTGTTCATCCTGCTGTCTTCTTTTCTTGACTTGTTGAGATGCTCTAGGACATTATTTTACGCATGGAGCAAGGTCACACTGAAGAAAAATCCAATTAAAGTGGGAATTGTAAGGAAAAGGCAACGAGATTATTCCAGTCACATTCAGTTATTCATTGGTTTCTTGCCAACAGCTATTAAATTTCAGGAAAAACTGAAATTAATAATAGTTTGTACAGTGTTTATCACGAAGCATTTTGACATTTAATTTCGTTGATTACCGACGTGATCTTTTTAGGAAGAGAGATGGCATGACAGGGAGTTACACACCATTACACACCAGGTCTTCTGATTTCTATTTAACTTTTCCTCACTGATTCCGTTAATCACCTCAGCCTTTTTGTAAGCTACTTAGACTTGATTTGTGAACGCTTTTATGTGTACAACCATTGAAAAATCCCTTCCTATTGCTCACAGTTTGTTTTGCAAGGAACAAATGAACACGTTTTGTGCTCCAACACCCAGGCATAAATCTCAGTTTAAAGAGAAGGTGTTTTTAATGAATGAAATAAAAACTATACTATAGAAATGCCAAATTAACTGTTGGTAAAGCAGAATGGTTTCCCACTCAGGCTCCAGAATGTGAACTCATTACCATATTATTTATTAGCTATTAACCCTCTGCATCTTTCTAAAGCTCAATTTTCTTTCATAAGATGAAGATAATAATATATCTTCCTAATGTGGTTGTCAAAAAGATTAAATAAGGCCATGTTTGTTAAGCCCATAACAGAACCCTGGCACACAATAAACTCTTAATACATTTTATTTGTTTTTGCAAATATTTATCATATTTTTTTTCCTACTGGACCAAATTGCCACTGCAAAAAGCTCCTGCCCATAGATGTTTGTTCCCTGGGTAGGTGCACTTACCACCTTGAAGTTGTCTTTTGACTATTTCTGGTTCTGACCAAAGCCCAGAAGGTGATGTTGATATCCAGGAATGAGTGAGTGAACAGCCAGCCTTAATCAGACCCTTGATTGGAAAAAGCTCAGGCAGAATTATCCTCCAGACTCACTAATTACCACTGTAGCTACAAAGAGCCAAATTTAGGCTAGATGTGTTCCCTAGTGTGGGAAAAGGTTTATTTAGCTACTTCAGGCCAAAACAGCCCACCACTGCTGAGTTCTCAGGCCTGGCTGCCTTTTAGAATTACCTGGGGAGCTTTTAAAACTCCTGATGTTTGGCTGGATCTCAAAATTCAGAACCTCTGGAATTTGGGGCCTAGCCATTGATATTTTAAAAACTCCCCAGCTGATTCCATATGCAGCTGGGGCTGAGGACTTTGTCACGGGGAAATTAATGGGATGCTGAAACGGTCTTTTAGACCTAAATACCTTCTCATGCATAAAGAAAACAGGCGTTTTGAACAAAACATAAGGGGTCTTGGTTGCGCCTCTCATAAAAAAACAACTAAATCAGTTTACTAGAATAAGCCATATTTTCTCAGCTTGCTTTCTTCTTTCTGGAAACCAATTAAGGCCTTTTAGAAGGTTTAATTACCCACTTTCTGTCTGTGCCACACTGGTTTAAAAATGAGCAAAGGACTTGAATAGACATTTCTCCAAAGAAGACATACAGATGGCCAACAGGTACATGAAAAGGCACTCAACATCTTTAAATATCAGAGAAATACATATCAAACCCACAATAAGATATAACCTTGCCCCTGTTAGGATGGAGGTTATAAAATAGAACAAAAATCAAAAGATAAAAAGTGTAGGCAAAGATGTGAAGAAATTGGAACCCTTGTATATTGTTGGTGAGAATGTAGCCTCTATGGAAAACAGTATGGAGGTTCTCCAAAAAATAAAAAATAGAGCTACCGTATGACCCAGAAATTCCACTTCTGGGCATATATCCAAAAGAATTGAAACCAGGATCTTGAGGAGATATTTGTACTTCCATGTTCATTGCAACATTATTTACAATAGCTGAGACACGGGAACAGCCCAAATGTCCATCAACAGATGAATGGATAAAGAAAATATACACACCATGGAATATTATTCAGTTTAAGAAAAGGAGCCCTGGCTGGTGTTGCTCAGTGGTTAGAGCGTCGACCCACACACCAAAGGGTCCCAGGTTCAATTCCCAGTCAAGGGCACGAACCTCGGCTGCCGGTTCAATCCTGGGGCCCTGTCGGGGTGCACGCAAGAGGCAACCAATCGACGTGTCTCTCTCCTCTCTTACATGGATGTTTCTCTCTCTCCTCTCTCCCCTTCCCCCTCCCTTTCTCTCTCTCTGAAAATCAATGGGAAAAATATCCTCCGATGAGAAATAATAAAAAAAAAGAGAGAAAAGAAGGAAATTCTACCATTTGTGACAACACTAATGAGCCTTTAGGACGTTGTGCTAAGTGAAACAAGCCAGTCACAGAAGGACAAATGCTACATGATTCCACGTACATGTGAATCTAAAACAGTCGAACTGATAGAGGCAGAGACTAGAATGGTGGTTGCCCCAGGCTGAGGAGAGGGAGCAGTGGAGAGTTGCTGTTCAATGGGTACACAGTTTGTAACACCAGATGAGTAAGTCCCAGGGACCTGCCGTACAACGCAGTGTCTGGGGCTGACAATACTGTACTGTGCCCTTAAACATTTGTTAAGAGGGTGGATCTCATGTCTAGTGTTCTTACCACACACACACAAAGGACACAAGGGGAGGTTTGGAGGCGAAGGATATGTCTGTTACCTTGATCGTGGTGACGGTTTCTCAGGTGTTTGTGTAAGTCCAAACTTATCAAATTGCATACATTAAATACATGTGGTATTTTATATATCAGCCACACTCAATAAAGTCAAAGTGATTTCCTTTTTTTCTCTTTTTCAAAAATGCTGCCCGTTTGGGTGTCTGCCTGGCATCCTAAGTCACATCAGAGAAGAGCCATGCTGGAGTCATGGCCCACATTTGGTAGCAGTGGCAGAGCCAGCTCTAATTCTGTTGGAAACAGAAAGACAGGACTGTTGCGGGCCCTGTCGCCAGAGCATGTGGCGTGAAAGAGGAGAGGGGCATCTACTTATTTCCCCCCAAGAATCCTTACGTCTTGTGTGCAACATGAGGACTGCCTAAGCCTTCATAGGCCTTCTATTATATACTTAATTCAGGGTTGATTATCACGTGTGCAGCTGATGGGAGAAGCAGATGGTGTGAAGTCTCCACAAGAACCCATTTAATATGTTGGGGGACAGTGTAATGTGGTTGTGTGTGTCTCCTGCCCCAACCCCAACCCTAGACATGCACGTAAATATTGCTCGGGAAGAAAGATGGGCTCAAGGTGTTTGTGTTTCTGGCTTTCTTTCCTTTATTGTTTACATTTTTTAAAAAATCTATCTCCTTTTGATAGAGATTCTAAAAAAACACTTGAATATATCTCAGAGTAAGTTTCCCTGGCTTGTTCCCAGTCACTGAAGGAAAGAGTGTCACTGGGAACATCATTTGCGAAGGTCAGCTTGTTAGAGGATGGTCCAGCTTGACGAAGACCTCACTGATGAAGGGTCAGCATTCTACTTGTCACCACCGAGGCCTTCACATCCAGGCAGATTCTTTTCTTTCCATTGTGACGAGCGTGGTTAAGGTTTTTAATCTCTTAGCGCTTTATTTTCTTTCCCAACTGAGCCAAGAGGTACAGTCTGAGACTGAGAGGTAATTAGAGATGGTTCGCCTGAGAAATGGAGCTATTCTGTCCGCAGGCATTAATTCTGTTTAGTTGTTAGAGGGAGGGTGTAATTTAATGACCCAAATTGTTCTTCCTTTCAATCGATTTGAGGTGCCTTTAAAATAAGAAAATGACTTACCTTTGAGAGAGTAAAAAACTACTGGGCACCATTCTTTCCAAACAGAAAAGAAGAACCTGACTACTAGGATGTAGTATAGTGTCCCCTCTTTCTTGTACCACGGACGTGTGGTTAGGAGCCTGGGCCGTGGAAGAAAGCAGGCAACAGGGAAGTTCAACTGGAGCTCCCGTTTCACGACCTTCAGTCTCAGTGTCATGATTCTTTGTATCTGATGCTACCAAACACTGAGGCTCTTCTTTTCCAGAATGGGAATTTTAGGACGGGAAAGACTTGGCCATGTTGGTGGACTGAGGAGAAGGAATCCGTGGAGAGGGAAAGGTGATGGTTCGGGAGGACCAGTGAACACTGAGGAGGGATTTGTCCAGCGCACGGGGCAGGATTATTCTTGGGGCAGAGGAGAAGTGGCCAGTTCTTCCTGTGCGGCTGGAGGAAGGAGCTCGGGATGGCTGGGATCCGGCTCCGTGGGAAGGACAGTGGCGGTGGGGTCACAGGAGGCTCTGCAGGGTCTGGTGGCAGGTCTGCAGGTCAGAGATTTCATCCCTCGGACTGGAGCGTCTCAGCATGAAGCCAGCCTCTCTCTGGTGGCTGCTGTTCACCTGCTGTCCTCAGGCAGGAGCCAGGGAGAATAGCCCAGGGAGGAAGGGAAGGGATTCAACAGCCAAATTATAGGGGGAATAATTGCATCCCCCCTGCGAGTCCCCATAGGGAGGAGAGGCCTGAGGTTTGTACCTCTGGAAGTGGGGCGCTTGGGGTTCCACCAACTGCGATTCCAAGACGTTTCATAGTTGAGCTGCTGGAACTGTGTTCAGCTCTGCCTCTGCCTCAGCAGAGGCCCACCCGAGTGTACCTCTCTCTGTGTCCTCAGGCAAGTGTTTCCTTTGCCTTCAGTGGACGCTCTGGTGGCTCCTCTGCTGCACCAGGAAAAGGAGACATTTGTGCTTTTGTATCTGCCCCCAAGCCCAGGCTCACCAACAGCAACGGGGGAAAGGGCAAGTGAAAGGTCCAAGGCAGGTGGGCCGTCTCCTGCCTGTGTCGCTCACCCTCCGCCCCTCTCCCTGCAGATGGTCGGCTGTGACTACGAGATCGGCTCCAACGCCACAGAGGATCGCTGCGGGGTGTGCCTCGGGGACGGCTCTGCCTGCCAGACCGTGAGGAAGATGTTTAAGCAGAAAGAAGGATCTGGTAACAGACAAACAAATAAATAATTGTAGTGGCAGGGGGCTGAGAATGGAGGGCAAGATTGATCGCTGGGTGTGCGTTTTTTAGCAGATTGCGACTTTCAAAGAATTGAAAATGAAAAAGATAGAAGAAAAGTGATTTTACTGAATGAATATGTTCATCATTCTAATGCTTTGGAGATAGTCTTACCAACCCTGAAAACCTCCCCTTGAAATAGAATAAATGTCTCAATAACACTTCACCCCTGCAACTCTAATATGATTTTCATTTCTGTGAACAAGACCCACGAGGATGAGACATACAAGAGGATTTGTTTTTCATCTCTGTTTTACCAACCACCTTTTCCCATTTAAACACTACATTAGGGGTTAGTAAACCCTGGTTATAGGCGTCTAATCTCTCACCCTACCTGTGTGATGTGGCATAGATTTCTTCTCTTGGGAACTCAGCTCCCTCATTTTTTAAATAAAGAGATCGGTAGCCATTCCCTTCCACCTAAATACCCATTAACAGGGGGTTGGTTAAATAAATGGGATTTTGTCATTTTTGCAGTTGTTAAAATGTTCAAAAACTACGAAAAGATACTCAGTTTAAAAGGCAGTAGTAGTTCGTATAGTAAGATCCCACTTATTTAAAAAATTAAGTGCATGTGTAAAAAGTTTTGTGAGAGAGCCCAATAAACCATTAACTGTAATTGTCTTTGATACAGAGGACAGGGAGTGGAGGGAAATGGAAATGTGACTTTTCATTTGACACCTCTCTCTCTGGTGGGCTTTTTTGTCATGTGCAAAGGAGACTGGTAGATAGTTTATCATGGTTCATTTTAACTCCAAATCACTATAATTTTATCCTTTAGCTTCCTACTGAGTACTCTTTTGCAAATATATATTACTTTTTAAGAAAATCCTCACCCAAGGACATGCTGAGAGAGAGAGAGAGAGAGAAACATAGACAATTGTCTTCTGTAGGTTCCCCAACTGGGGATCAGACCTGCAACCCAGGTATGTGCCCTGCCCGGGAATTGAACCCACAGCCTTTCAGTGCACGGTACGATGCCCGGCCAGCTGAGCCACCCCGGCCAGACCAAATATATTCTGTTCATGGCTAAATCTGTTTCAGTTTAATCTGTCTACAGACTGTTCAGAAACAGTGCTTATATCACTGAAAGCTTTTCTTTTAAATTCTGAAATACCTCCCTTTCAATTTGGCAGACTCTGCCCATGAGAAATACTTATACTTTTGGATTTTTCTCCCTTAAGTGGAAGACAAAAAGCAAACTCTTTTGTTGTTGCTTTCCACCCAGTTATCTTTCCTTGTTTCTTTGTATTTTGGTTTTTGCTTGTTTATTTTTAAACAAGGGATGGGGTGATAGCCAGTTGGTTTTCCTACATGGGAAGCTGAGCAAGGTCCTAAGTCAGAAAATAGCTGCAGGCAGCAACACTTCAAAGCGTTTAAAAAATTGCATTAGCCTCAATCGCCTGTGATAAATATTTCCACCGAGCTAGTTAGGAATTAGTAGTTTTAACCTGCCGTATCAGGTAAGTGTGTGAGGGCAAGTGGAATTACTACGACTCACATTTTGGTTCCTCTGGATTGGAGCTGCCAGGTTGAAAAATGGGACTGAGGTTGTGGCTGTACCAGCTTCTGAGTGAGTCGTTCCTGCTGCCAGTCCTGGGTATGAGCTGCCAGGACATCGTGCTCCTCTATGTCCGAGTGAGAGTCAGGCACTTTCAGGGGACAGAGATGACAGTTTGCTTGTCAGGCCAAAAACCTAGTGTATATTCAGTGGAAAATGACCAGAACGATCAGGGTCTTACAACCATGTTTTGTATAGAAAGATTGAATGTTTAGCTTAGAAAAGAGCAGAATAATGGAGTCCCAGAGCTGGGATAGACATCAGACCTCATCTCATTCAAGCGCCTTCATTGAAAGAAGTTAAATAAGTCGAACGTTATAGAGCTTGTTATGGCAACTCAGAAACTAGACCTCGAGTGCTCTGACCCGCTGCCTCAGTGCTCCCTTCCAGTGCCATCCCCAAGGTCCATGCTCCTTCCATTCTGTCGCCTTTATGAGGTGATGGTCCTTAAGAAGCCTAAATAGGATGAGTGCGTGAGGTGCGGTGCTCGGTGTAGGGTCTGGCAAGGGGGAGACGTTTGAGTGTCAGCTCCTTTCCTTCCCATGTGTCTCCGTGATAACCAGTGAGCAAGAGGACTGGCTAGAATGGATCATCGTCATCAAATGGATGTCCTCTGTGCTTTTTTAGAAGGCTGGATTTGAACGTATGAGAGTAAGTTCGTATTTCAACAAACCCTAAGAAAAAATAAGAAAAAGCTCTTTCTAATGAATAGAATTGTCCGGCAATATGAAAGGCTGTGCTTGGAGCTGAGTTTCTCATCAGGAGCTGCATTCAAGAGCACCAGGGTGGCAGTCAACCCCAGATTCCCTCCAGGACTCATAAGGAATTTAAGCTATGATTAAATTACTTCTAAAAAATCCATCTTTAACTTGCAGGCAATAAGGATGAGCTAAAGGATGTATCTAATGCAATCTTTAAGAAGTTTAATCTGATAGCAGCTACAATTGGGGAAGCAGAGATGCTATTGGGAAGCTAGCTAGGGGATGTAAAATTCTGAACTATCAGCATGAAATCACAGAAAATAAATGCTGGATGAACCACAAAAGCTTCAGAGTGCAATCTGCATTATTTCACCTCTCCTCACAAAACTGTTTATATACTGAGTCACAAAGCTCCTGAGGATTCTGCTTATGGCCAAGATCTTTAAATTTCTCCATACTTAGTACATCTACCAATCCCAGTGACCACCCAGGAGGAGGGCAAGGGCACTAAATGATGAGGTTGAACAATGGGTCAGAAGCAGATTGTGTTCAGCTAAGCTAGCATGCCTCTTTCATTCACTGTAACTTCTCTCTCCCTAGGTTATGTTGACATCGGACTGATTCCAAAAGGAGCAAGGGACATACGGGTAATGGAGGTAGAGGGAGCTGGAAACTTCCTGGCCATCAGGAGTAAAGACCCTGAGAAGTATTACCTCAATGGAGGATTCATTATCCAGTGGAATGGGAACTACAAGCTGGCTGGGACCGTCTTTCAATATGACAGAAAAGGAGACCTGGAGAAATTGATGGCTGCAGGTCCCACCAATGAGTCCGTGTGGCTCCAGGTAATGCAGAAAGGAAACTGCTGACATATCATCAGTTAGGATTTTTCTAATTTTCTTTTTCCAAAGTATTTGCTAGGAGACACGAATTAAGAACCCCTAAAACTTCCTTTAGCAAGGAACAGGGAGGGAGTCAGAATATTAGCTTGTGCTGTTAATGCTTTATTGCTTAGAAATTGTTGAAACACCCCCCCCCAATGAAATGCCAGAGGCCTTGAAACCATCCGTTGGGAGGTTTGAGTTCAGGGTTCAGTGTGGTTGACACGGGCTGTTTATTTGAGGGTGATTGTCATTGGGCACTGAAAGGACGCTCTCAGCCTGTGTCAGTCTGGCATGAGTTCCAAGCAGCTCCCCAGCAGTGGCGATGAACTGACATGGCTCTTTCACATGTTATCATGCGCTTGTCCTCAGGCAAAAGGTTTCACTTTGTGAGACTCTTGGGGGAAAGGGGTTAGGGTATAGGACGTGTTCTTCAGAGTCATGAGCGATCTGTCTTGGGTATTGGCAAAGACTATAGAAAAAGAGTAGAATAATTATACCAGTGGAGACAGGCAGGTTGGAGATGACAGATGACCCAAAAGAGTCACATCTAACCACTTCAGAAGTTAGAGGGAAGTCGTTTCAGAGCCAGATGTCAGAGCACTCAAGGAAGCTGGAGGTCAAGGCTTGACAGCTATGTTTCATAAATGTCAGGGAACCTGATATCTTACCTGTCCACGCAGGGATAGATTTACATATGGGAACCCCCAATCCCATGGGGCAACCAATCCACCACCTCCAAGTTTACGATGAATTCATTTTAAATGTGCTGTAGGTAGATTACCTGCAGGAGAGGGAAGTGAGAGGAAGGTCCCAAGAGTGGTAGGCTATGACTAAAACCCACGACCATTTTTACTGCAGAACTATATGCTTTAAAAGAGCTAAGCAGTTTAAGAGCTAGAAAAAGGCAGGCATCATAAGGCAATAACAACAATAAAAGTTAATGTTTACTCAGTGCTAACTCCATGGCAGGTACTGTTCTAATCCTATCTAATTACACCACATTAATTTATTTGTATAACTCTCACAACCCTATTAGTAGTACTATTATTATCCTGAATGGGGAAGCTAAGGCACAAAGAGATTAAGTAATTTACCCATAATCACAAAGTTAGTAAGTACGCAAGGGCAGAGGCCACTCACCAGCCTGTTGTTGGAAAGGACCCTCAGGGCAGTTCCCTATGATTAGACCTTCCTTTTTCCATGAACTGAAATTCCCGTGGGATTCAGCCAAGAAATACTAGAATGGAGAAGCTTAAATATAGATGTAGGTAGGCGTAGATGAGCAGGTGGGAGTGGAGGTAGGGATATATTCGTTTAAGGCAATTGCTCCAGTGCGGGCTACCATAACTGCTTTAGGATGGTGGACGTTGTGCAGTATTTTTATATGACCGCGGTTTCAGTGTAGAGTCATGACAGCTTGGCATCACCCCTCTCTTGCCTTTTAGCTTCTATTCCAGGTGACTAACCCTGGCATCAAGTATGAGTACACGATCCGGAAAGACGGCCTTGACAATGACGTGGAGAAGCTGATGTACTTCTGGCAGTATGGCCGCTGGACGGAGTGCAGTGTGACATGTGGGACAGGTGAGAAGCAGTGGTCCTCTCTATGAACCCACATTGGCTCCAGAATGGGCCGTGGAGGCCATCGAAGCCAGTGGTTTGCCTCTGTGCTGTGGGTCTGCAGGGTTCCCAGGGGGCCCTGTGGGGAGTAAATGTGCAGGTCACAGTCTCAATGGAGAGGCAGTTTTTCTTTCACCAGCTTTATAGACTGGCCTTCATGAAAGGTTTTGTTTAAAGAAAGGGTTCCATGTCTTCTTAAAACGCAAAACAGAAAGACTTAAAACAACCACTGCTCTGACTGAAGATACGAGGACCACAAAAGTCAAATAACTCCTCCAGGGACATACTATCAATCATGGCCAAATCCCAAAATACCTAATTTCTAGCCCAACTTTACCAAGTTTTTAGGTCTACTGAGAGAGTCGTTTTCCCTGACGAAATCCAGTATTGGAGAGATTCCTTGCTGCCAGGTATTAGGATGGGGTAGGTTTTGCTACAGTAACAGAGAAATTGAATCTCAGGAATTCAACACAATGAAGGCTTATTTTTAACCCATTCCAAGTCTCACGCAGGTTGGGTGGACCCACTCAATCTCCAAGCTAAGACATCTGAAATGTGTGGTCTCCAGCTTGCCCCACAGGGGAAGAGAGAAATAGAAGAGGCAGACTGCCTCTTAGCAAGGACCTTGGCCTGGAAGGGACACAAATCACTTCTGCTCGAGTTCCACTGTGGGACTTAGGCCTGTGGGCACAATCTAACTGCACAGCGAGGCTGGGAACTCAAAAGAGCGCGTGGACATTTGCAGAGCACGGACTCTCCTGCTCTAGGGCCCCGTGAACTTGTCCAGGGCCCAGGAGGGCAGGCTCAGGGCCTTGCACTCGGTTTGGAGGGCTTTCGTAGCAGTGCCACAGGAGAAAGCCTCTGCCTCTCTCTCCTTTTGGATCATGTCTAAGTCTGTTCGGGAGCTTCCTGCCTCTGGCCTGTAGCACCTGCCTACAAGACTAGGGCAGCTACAGGGCGAAATGCTGGAATCTGCCATAGAGCAAAGGGGATAAAAGTGAAGGAGCGAATGGGCCAGAAGAACACAGTCCCCTCCTCTGCAGGCTTCTGTTGCACAAGCTTTGTCTCAGCACCACTTGTTGACTCGGTCCCTCCCCCAGCCCTGTCCCCAGAAGGTAGTTACAGAAAGACCCTTCACTTAAGTCCTACTCACCCTTCTGTGGGGAATTTACCTACATTTGAGCATTATTTCTTTGTGGTTTTCTCTTTTTATATCTTGATATTTTATTATTTAATATTTCTCATATATTTATATTTTACATATTACTATTGTGCCTTTGAAGCAAAAAGCTATTTAAGCAAAAATTCACTAAGATGCTATTTCCTTATTTTGATGATTTTAAAATTTTTATTATCTTTGTTCTAGATCATAAATCCATATTAAAAACTGGCAGCACAATGTTGTAAATTTAGCTAAATGTCCTAAAGCCGGCTCAATTTCCATAGCCCACTGTTCACAGGTCTAGAGGACCCTCGGAGTAGACCAGCGACGGTCTTCTCTCCATTCTTCCGTCCTCTCGGCCGCATTTGCTTTCCCTCCTGCCTTATGCCTGGGGCGTGACTTTGGGGTGACCCTGGGGAATTTGGGACTAGCTGTCCTTCAGGAAAAGTCAGAAGGGGATGGACAAACAAGTGCTACGACTCATAGCGAAAGGCTTGGTGAGAAAATTCACCTGAGTTGCTCATCAAAAGATCACCCCTGAAAGTTCAGCCAATGGATTGATTCTCTGTGAAGAAACAGCTGCAGAAATGGCTTGACACAGAGGCTCGTCCCAGTAGGAAGCCTCATGACTCTTTATTACACAAGAAACTATTTTGGCAAAAACTCAAGATTGCTTTTGTAAAAATGTCAAAGCCACGTTTTTGCCCCATCGCATCTCTAGTACTGCAGAGCTCCGCCAGGTGTAACACATTCTATCCAACGCTTCCTGTTCCCGTAAAACTCAAAGTAATGGTACTATTGTCAGAAAACGGGTCATCACTTCTTTGTGACCTTTTCCAGTTTTGTGCTCTGTGGTCTCCTCTGTTCTGCATTTTCGAGTCTATAAATACAACTGCGGCTGCACAGAAGGGAGAACACGTTTCCCTGCTCTGCCATGAGCCTCTCGTTTTCCTTCATCCCACTCGGCTGAATCCTCTCTGGGGTTTGTTTGAGGAACATCGTGTTCTAGTAGGAAAAGGCAAATGTTAAAAATTCCAAAGACCATGCAAAACTCCTTAGAGGTGGTTCAGACTCTTCTAAGCTGCCTGGGAAACTAGATCGTGTTATTGGAAATAAATAACGTGTAAAACAGATGCTTAGGTTTACTGGAACCAGTCCTTACGGGGCTTGTGTGACAGTATTTCTGCTAAAGCTCAAAGTAACCATGTAGGTTGAGATTTGTCCACTCACCATTGTCACAGCAGGAGAATCATAGCCGGGGTTGCATATTCCACCCTGGCCCCGGTGTGTGCCCATATGCTGATGTGTAGAAGACAGAATCATCTTCTTTGGAAAACCAGAGTCAAATACAGTTTTCACTGTCTCAAAGTGCAGTCATTTTGGTGCTAATCCGTCTGACTCCATCCGCTGTAATTGTCAGGGAGGATCGACCAAGCCCAGATACCAATCTCTAACAATGGCCAGAGGATGTTTTTTAAATGTAGGACCNTGGCCCCGGTGTGTGCCCATATGCTGATGTGTAGAAGACAGAATCATCTTTGGAAAACCAGAGTCAAATACAGTTTTCACTCTCTCAAAGTGCTAATCCGTCTGACTCCGTCCGCTGTAATTGTCAGGGAGGATCGACCAAGCCCAGATATCGATCTCTAACAATGGCCGGAGGATGTTTTTTAAATGTAGGACTNCTAATCCGTCTGACTCCATCCGCTGTAATTGTCAGGGAGGATCGACCAAGCCCAGATATCGATCTCTAACAATGGCCAGAGGATGTTTTTTAAATGTAGGACCTCATGAAGATAGTAGGAGGATTTGTTGAGATGGGTTTAAGCATATGCTATGGAATGAGGAGTGTATCTATCGTATGCATACATATATGAAATAAACTTCCAGTAATATACCGTGGAGATCAGATAACCTTTCAGTTCTACTTCCTGAATGAGCCGGCGAGAACCCTTAACCAGAGTGGCTAATTTACTGCTTTTTACTGATTGCCGTAGAGTTTGCAGTATACATTTATAGCTATTCCAAATCCACTTTCAAATAACACTATGCCACTTTGTGGATAGCCTGAGTACCTTAGAATAACAAAATAATACTAATTCCTACCTCCTATCCCTTGTATCATTGTTGTCCTTCAGGTCACATATATAAGAATGCATAGGCCTATATACACACAAGATACATGCATAAACATACATAATCAAATACATGGTTGGCTTTATTTTTTTTTTAACAAGCTGTTAGATCAATTCAGAGTAAGGAAACTAAGAGTTTTTTATTTAAACTTCATTTGTTGCTTCTTTAATGCTTTTCCTTTCTTTATGTAGACCCAAGTTTCTGACCTATATTATTTTATTTCTCTTCAAAGAGCTCTTATAACATTTCTTGCATGGCAGGTCTACTTGCAATGAATTCTTCCAATCTTTTGTCTAAGAAATTCACTTTTGAGTGATAATTTCACAGGGTTCAGCCTTCTAGGTTGGTGGGGGTTTTCCTCTCAATACTTTAACTGTTTCACTCCACTCTCTTCTTCCTTGAATGACCTCAGAGAAGTCAGATGTAATTCTTTGTTCCTCTCGTAGGAAGATGCATTTTCCCTCTGGCTTCTTTCAGGATTTTTTCTTTAGCTTTGATTTTCTGTAATTTGAAAATGATATGCCTAAGTGTAGGGTTTTTTTTTGTATTTGTCCTACTTGGTGTTTTCCGGGCTTCCTGGATCTGTGGTTTGGTATCTGACATTAATAATTCGGTGCACTTCTGGTTTCCTCTCATGGGTCTCTGCTCCGGGAAGTTGTGACTCCCATTCAACTGTGTTCTCTCCAGTCCCAGCAGTTGCCCCTGTGCCCTCTCTTATCTTATATCCAAGAACTGTTGTTTCTTAAAACTATTTGGCTTTTTACTTGTTCCGACAGAGTGGCAACTTCCAACGTCCTTACATGTGGAACCGTTACCTGGAAATCTCCCCAAGGTGGCTAATGTAATGGTCTGTTCTCCTTCAGGTCTTCTTAATCCCATCCCATTTTGACCCCATGCAGCCAGCAGAGATTAGTCCCTCCCTCATTTGCAGGCCCTTAGTTTTGTTCTCTAATAAATGGCACTTGCTTCAGGATTTCTCACTTAGTTTCTGTGAAAGCTTGTTTTGCTCAGTGAGCCCTGCAAAATGCTGACTGCCTGCTTTTCTTGGTAACCTCTGAGTCACAGAAAGGTTCTACTATTCCGGCAATTGCTTTCCAGAGTTAATTAATGAGTATGTCACCCAGTGCTTTTTTATGCATGTTTATTTTATTTTATTTTATTTTACTTCTTTCATCACCATTTATCTCCCCTATCCCCTCCTTCACCTCCCCCCACCTCTGCCATCGTCACACTGTTGTCCTTGTCTGTGATTCTTTCTTTTTCGCTCAAGCTCTCCACCCCTCAGCCCCAGCCCCACCCCGAGCTGTCAGCCTGCTCTTAATCTACGAGTCTGTCTCTGCTTTGCTTGTTAGCTCAGTTTGTTCATTTGATTCCACATAAGAATGAAATCATATGCTACTTGTCTTTCTCTGACTGGCTTATTTCACTTAGCATAATTTGAGATTTTTACTGCAAAGGAGACGTTATCAGTCAAGGGTCCCTGCAGAAATATCTGGCACACCCAAACTGCATACCTTGGCTACTTTCAAAGGTATGCGTAGGGTTTAGGGAAACTAAGAAAGGTAGTTCATTACCCCTGCCCATTAGCAGTCGAGGGTGGGTCAAATGAGACTACCATCCCTAGGCCTGAGGAGGTAAGGGGAAGGAGCAGTTCTCCAAAGAAACAGTGCCTCCATTTCCCAAACCCAACTGGAAGCCACAGCGATTGACAGGATCAGCTTCCCAGGGTTCAGAGCGGGTGCAGCATGGATCCGGAGAGACGAACAGCAGAAGTGTAACATAGAAGTGGAGATGAAAAATCAGTAAACTCTATATAGCGGGTAGACTACTAGCAAGCCAAGCTGGGTCTTGACTCAAGAAAGAAAGTTAACATTCACTGAGTGCTGTTCCACTTACTACAGCTATATAACAAACCCTTCTAAATTTAAACAGCCATCATTTTATAATGCTCATGGATTCTGTAGGTCAGAAATGTACACGGGGCACAGTGGGGATGGCATGTCTGTGCTTCACAATGTTTGCACCCTGGCTAGGAAGACTCAGATAGCTGGGGCTGACTCAGATGCCTGGGGGCTGGGACCACCTGGAGGCTTCTTTACTCACATGACAAGGCCTCTCCCAGGCTGCAGGCTTCTTATACCTTGGCAGCTGGAGTGTCCTGAGAGAGCCACGAAAATCAGATGGAAGTTGCGTGGCCTTTTATGACTTAGCCCTTGAACTCACACAGCATTACTCCTGCATTTGGTCCAAGGACAGGGTAGCGAGACACCATGTCTTGGTGGAAGGATGGCATTTCACACTGTGGGAAGAACTTGCTGGATGAGAGATTGTTGCAGCCGTCTTTGGAAACTATGATTTGCCATATATCCTTTCACTAAGGCAATATGAATTAATATAATTTTGAAACATTCTGACAACAGTTGCAACAAACTATATATTCTAAGTAAAATGTGCAGCTATTTTAACTAGAATCCCTTCATCCAACGTTTCCAGTGATTAAACTTTAGTTTTGTCTTCCCTTCATGGATTATAGCTTTTAAAATGTAGAAGACACTTCCAGGGATCAGCTTCCTGCCCTCAAACAGTCTAAATGTCTTTATTCACATTTTCTTGCAGTTAGTCAAAGGATGTGTAGAATGAAAAGTAGGGACTAGAACCCAGGACCCTTGGATTTTACTTATTTGTTATGTTTATTTAACCAGAAATTGTTAAATAATGGAATTATAGATTGCATTTTACGAAATGGACCCACAAACACCAGAATTAAGGAGAAAAGCACCTGGCCAGGTATTATGTTTCTGTACCGTAGGAGAAGTCAGGCTATTGGGTTGGGGCCCCTCCTGGAGGATTTGGGCTTAGCTTTGTATCTATCATGTGAGAACTCAAGGGCTAGGAGAAGAGATTAATGGGCACCAGGACCATTAATTCCAACTGAGAAACTGACATGCTCTTATTGATTTTCTCAACACTATCTCCTGGCCAATCCTTCTGTTCATCTCACTGCTGGTCCAGCGGATTGACCCGAGCAATGTCACTAACGTTCTGAAGGGGATTTTATTTCATGTTTTGTGCCTTTTTTCTACTTCTGGAATCAGGAGCACTGAGCACACCTATCTTTGTTGTTCATGCACAGCAACAAGCCTTTTGGGAATGTTTCCAAACTCTTTGAGAGCCATTTGATCACTTCCTTTGATTTTTTGGACATCAAGAATTTGCCACACTCCCCAAAGTTTTAATAAAACTTCTCAGTGTCTAAGCATTTTCTGTTTTCTGTGCTACAATGGCAGGTGCATGTCAGCTTTTCTGGCTTCAGCCCTTCTCAGTCTCCTCCGCTTACCTAGTCTAAGACTTCTCCGCAGGAGTGTGTGTCTTTCCAAACAATGACTCACTCACTGTGCCATGAAAGTTCCCTTCCTAATGTTGCTTCCAGCTGATGCAAGTGGTTTGTTTACATGACAAAACAAGAGTAACGCGTCGTCTATCAGTTCAGAGAGCCTGCATGGTCGAATGGTTAAGTCTCTTTTCAAAAAGGATAAGAAGACTGTTTCATTTAACAATAAAATGCTGTTGATTCATTTTAAAGGATTTTCTTACTGTTCCGACTCCCTCCGATGTTTTTAAAGGCAAGACGCCATCCATGGCTCCTGAGGATGCCAGGCAGCCTGGGCCGTTGGGCTGGGCCAAGTCCGGGTGAGGGTGAGGCAGGGTGAGGTGATGGGTGTAGGGGGCTGACTGCAGTTCGGGTCCTGTCAGCTGTGTGGCCGAGGGGAGCCCCTCCATGTCTTTCCCAGTAAAGAGAGGCGGTGACCGTCTCACCGGGGTACTCATGGCCTTTCCAGTCTGTAGTTCTGTGCACCAGTGAGCGCACTCAAGGCCTGGCTGCCTCCAGAGCGCAGGGTGCCAGCCTTAGGCAGGCTGATCGCTGCATCCCCTGGGGGCCTCAGACTCCTCACCCCAAGCTTCACATTCAACATTGAAGTGTCCTCTCTCTCAAGAGGGATGGTGACTCTCCTCACTGTCCCTTCACCTCTCAGTTCCTGACATTCTGGCCATGCCTCTAAGCTCTCCTGCTAATGACCTCCAAAACCACGGGTCCTTCTCCTTTCCCAACCTGTGGGACTTCACTGTGCCTCAGTTTCTTCATCTGTCAAGTAGTGATAATGATAGTGTTGACCTCATTGAGTTGTTGTGGGGTTTCAGTTATATATTAAAGTAGATAGTAGGTAATACATTTTATATATGTTTATATTTGGGACACACACACCCGGTTTAGAACAGCACCTGGGACAAGGCAGGCACTACATGAGGTACCTGTTACTATGTATCCCAGGTCAAGTTCAGCCTACAGATGCGCTTGCTTTGCCTGCTGCCCCCCGTCTGCTTACCAGCCTGGTCTCCAACGGCAGCAGTGTTGTCAGTCCCTGCTGTCAGAGCCCTCTGCTGGAACGACAGAACCTCCTAAACTCCACACATTAGTTTGAATTTTATTCCCATCTTTTAGAGTTTGTGAACCGCAACTACGATAAAGGCCCCTTCCTCCTCTGTGGCTTTACTGAAATCATGTAGCAATTGTGTTGGAATACCTGGTGGAGAGTCTGCTTTCCTTATTTAAATCTCACTTTCTTTTTTACTTGGCACGTGCGTGTTAGTCTTATCTCCGCAGCTACACCCTGTTCTGTGCATTAGATTATATATAAGTCTGTCTACATTGCCCGTAGTCCTTCTATCCATTGCCAGCTGCAGCATGAACATCCCCACTTTAGGAATTAAATACCTTATGGACCACTTGCCCGTCAGCTATAAGCATAATCACTCGACACGACCAGGGGCCTGGCACCGAGCATGCGGGCTCGGGATTCAGTGTGTGTGAACCTCTCTGCCTGGCCCCTAGGTGTCCGCCGCCAGACCGCCCACTGCATGAAGAAGGGCCATGGGATGGTGAAAGCCACGTTCTGTGACCCAGAAACGCAGCCCAATGGGAGACAGAAGAAGTGCCATGACAGGGACTGCCCGCCCAGGTAAGGGCTGAGAGCAGCTGGAGCCGGCCCCCTGCCTTGCGGCCTTGTTATTAGAACAAACCCGGGGCCTGGCGCGGGTCTCCGCGCTGTGCTCCTGGAGCTGTGGCACCCTGCGAGGTCGCCTCCCCAGGCAGCAGGATTTCGTACAGAGCTGCTGTGCTCTGTGTTTAATTATTTAGTAAGACGAAGTTTCCGAGCACTGTGGAAGAGAGTGCTATGTAGACCACCCAAAAGTTCTTCAGTTACTGGGTTTGGCTTTTCCGAGAGCGCTTTCCTGTGGGACAGTAGCCTCTAGACAACACGCTGACGCTTCCCATCCCAGTGCTCCGTTGCTCCGCAGGCTGCCTGGAGGAGTAGATGCACGGCCCAGGCTTTCTTAACCTCAGCACTATTGATACCTGGGTCCGGATAACTCTTTGTTGGGGGGGGGGTGGCTGTCTTGTGCATTGTAGGGTGTTTAACAGCATTCCTGGTCTGTAGCTATTTAGATCTTGGTAGCACCCTGACCCACCTGTGACAACCAAAAATGTCTCCAAATGTCTCCTGGGGGACAGTCACCCTTGGTTGGAACTGCTGTAATAGAGGTGTTCGTTTGCTGCTAATTATATTGGTTGAAGATATTGGGATCCTAGAAGGTAGCTTGGGTGTTGTTATAAGGGGT